GCTCATGCCCCAGTAAAGAGCAGAGCTCTGTCACTGTAGCTCATGTCGGTGTTTGTATCGTATCTTTCCTGCTTCTAACCAAACATACCTTCTCTTTTTTCTCTCTTCTTTTCCAGTCCATCATGGAGCAGTTTAACCCGTGCTTACGGAACTTCATAGCCATGGCAAAAAGCTATGAGAAGGCGCTCACCAGTGAGTACACCAACCATTTCTTGTTTTCCGTCTGTCTTCGTCGTTCTCTCGTTCCTCCAGTCGTCCAGGCAGAGGGCCAGCTCACCCGACACTTGGCGCTGCATCTGTATCGTCTTGATTTACCTCGAGACTGGTTAGCTTTAGGGTGACGATGGCTCAGATAGTCACGTTAAGAGCGTTGTTGATGCCAAGCTTACGATCCCCATCAGAAGCTTTTAAACTACACACACTAGTTTGTGCCTAGATCTTATTCAGACGTCCGGTATTGTGCTGTGATGTCCTGTGATTGTTCCGCTGTGATGTCTTCCTCCTTTCTGTCCACCAGCAGTTCCTCTCGTCATTCTCATTAACGTCTGTCTCTACCTTTTTATCCTTTGTCGTTGCTTTTTGAGGTTTGAATCGGTGTGTTTGTGTGTGATTGTGTGTGCGTGGGGGGGCAAAGAGTAGGGAGGTGAGGTATACACTCAGTCAAGGTCAAAGACAAAACACAGGAAATATCCAGAGGGAGCTAAGTGGAGCATTGGCTAATGCAAAGTGGAACAGGGAGAGTCGTGAGAATAACGGTACCCCTACCCCATGAGGCCCAAGAAATGAGAACGAGCAGAGCCGGTATTCAGGACAAGACAGGATAAAAAAATGTTTTGATAAAAGGAGAAGGTAGAAGGAAAAGACTGCGAGTTCACAAAAACAGAAATTCAGAAATTCTCAGCAGTTATTGGAATCCTGGAGCATGTCCGGTGGCTTATTCTTTAACTTCACAAACTCTGATTAATTAAAGCTACGCAGTCAGCATGGATAACGTGATTTCATGCCTCTGGGTCAGGCCGATAATGCTTGTCCTGATGCCTTGTACAGTATATGTATTTAGATAACACATGCCTCCAACCATGTCGAGCTCATTTATTGATAAGAAAACCTTCCAGCTCTGCTCTTAGATGTCACTCTGTGGAGGGAGGAGGATGAGGAGGAGGAAGAGGAGGTTATCGCCGTCGTATCATATATTCAGTGATGGTGCAGACTTGCTTGGTATGCTGTGTGCGGTTTCAAACTGGGCTCTCCTTTGTGTGCTCGGAGAGGAAATGCAGGGAAGACTCGGCAGCCTGCAAGAACAATAAAGAAGGCCTCACTCTAGTCTGATAGATAAGGCTAAAAATAGCCCTGCGACTCTCTGAGTGGGGATTACACTTCATCAATGCCAAGCAGCGGCACAGAGGCAGAGTTTAGAGTGGGGCTGGGCACCCAGCAAGCATCTATTGTCATAGGAAAAATGCCAGTGCAGCCCCTCCTCGTACTAGAACTGGGGCGGCAGCTTGACATCCCAGCGGACTGAGAGGACCAGAGTGATGCAGGAAGGAGCCTGCTTTCTGGGCTCGATGAGCACAGTGTGGTTTGGGATGTAGCGCTCAGCCAAATTCTCTCTTTATTAAAATCTTAATTGCAGCGTGGTGCAGGGCTGCAGCAGAAACGTGGGAGCTGTGCGGCTGGAACATGCTGTGCTTGTGCAGAAAGAGGAGAACACATGTGAAATCAAATAAAGGGAAGATGTCAAAACTGAGACGGAGATTTCTGTCTTGTTTGGTGACATCACTGAAAAATCGTTGGTCTCAGTGGAAGCTTTAAGCTTACAAGAGTACAAAGATGTGTCTACTGATGTGATTTAGTAATGGCCAACCTTTTCTTCAAAAGCAGTTAATTAAAAACGAGTAACTTTAGTTTATCTTTAATCTGCTTGTTTGGTTCAGTTAGCATAAAACAGGAAATTATTTGAAGCTGTAATCAGGAGCTGCCTTTTTCCAAATTGAGCCCGTTTATAAACGAGACGTTCGGGTTTTGAGCTGAATCAGATTTGTCTGCTTTCTGTGGAGGAATGTGAGAGGAGGCTTGATTGAGGTTGTGGAAAGCTTGATTTTGAAATTGATGACATCAACACGAGTCACGTGTCACCAACCTCAGCTGATTTAAACCTTGTTTGTGTTTCATCTGCTCTGCTCTGTATTGGCTTTATATCACTGTTCTAATCCTCTTTACAGGCAAGTCCTCCTTTTCCTCGTCCTCTGCCTTCTTCTTCTTCTTCTCTTCTTTATTTTTTCTCCTGCTTCTGTGCCTCTCTGTCACTTTCCAGCTGACAGACAAGCAAAGCATTCCCTGGAGCTAATCCGGCTTCACCTGGACCTGCTCTCCTCCCGGCTGAGATTTCTCTGCACATCGATTAAATTAGCCTTGCTCACCCAGCCATCTTAGCCTTACCTCCATCCCCTTGCTTTCCCATCCACTCATATCCTACCTAAGCTTAACTCAAGCCAGGCTTCAGAGAAGCCGGAAAAGGGTCTTGGCCTGTCACTGTCATAGCTTACGGAGGAGGGTTGCGCTGCTGTGTAAAGACTTTTGTGGCTTTTTATTCCTGGTTTTCATAAAAGAGTCCTCACAAAATCGTCTTACTGGAGAAATGAAATTGTTAAGTGCTTGTGCAGACTGAGAAGCCAGACGCTGTCTTAATTTACAGAACAATAACTTGCATAGCTCAGTGTCTCCGCGGACTTCTAGATGTGAATAGATTTTCATTGTTTTCCATGCGGGGATGTGAATACTTGTCATTTTCCTGCTCTCTCTGTGGGATTCTGCATGAACCTTCTCTGGCAGTTCAAAACACACTCATCAACATGACGGCCCTGTAATAAACTCGCTCATCCATATGTATATCCTGACTGGGCATGTGTCCTCTGTCATCATGACTTTCACTCCCCGTGTAGCTGACCCCTGACCTGCTTTAATTCACCGTCACCGCTGCCTGAGGCTGTCTCGCCCTCATTTCTAAGCCCCGAGTCACCGCCGCGTCTCGGCTCGTGTCCCCGGCTTCTGTGGCGATACGCCGCAGAGAATAACGGTTGACAGTATTTGAATTGTAGAGTGCTTACACATCACTGCTGTGAAAGGGTTTGTCAGCATATTATTATGTACGGGGTTGTAAAGATGTGAGGTGCCATTAGGATTTTAAAGCTTTAGTTCATCCAAATTACGAGAATACTTATTTTTTCTGCTTATGCCACGCAAATCGTTTTTACTGTCTGTCATAATGTAAATTTCAAGTGCACCAAATGGCACATATTCAAAAAAGCAAACATATTGTTCACCTACTTGGTGTTTTTACTCATATTTCAGAACCTCCACAGCATCTGTGTTTAATTTAGTCCAAAATCTGAGGGTCCAGGTTCATAACTGTTAATTTAATTAGACTAAAACATTTATAACCTGTATATGAAGGACAAACTTGGAGTTTTAAACCACCAAAAGTAATTTAACTCAATCAGCTAGTTTATTAAACTAGAGAAGAAACATTACTCTGCTGGTCTAGATTAAATTAGATGAGATTAGATTAGATTAGTCCTTATTGTCTCTGTTGGGAGAAATTTGTCTTGGACAAGCGAGCGCGACACGTCACGTAAAATCATAACTTCACACACTGATAATAAGTTTGGTGCCTCATACCTTCATCAAGACAATGAGGAAATCGGTTTTAAGATTAATCTCAAGCAGCTGCATATAAGTTACAAGTTACAAGAGCTTTCTTTTTTCCATTTGTAGTTCGTTACAGCATTATTGAGCAGATTCAAACAGGTTTTGGATCCATAAGGGTAAACGATGTTTAAAATGCCCTCACGTTATTCGTATTACATGAAACTGAACAACAACAAAAAAAACAATACAAATATTCATATTTTATATTTTTCCTGTTTCATTTCTGCTCATTGTATTTCCACTTCTCCAACACAGCTGGTATAGTTTCATAATTATTATTTTTTAAAT